CGGCCCCGGCCGTGGCTCTCGGCATGGACTTAGACACCCTTTGAAGATTTCTACTTTAAAATTCGCACAGGATTATTGTAGCTAGCATTTGTTCTGCATCTGTTTTTTCTCTCTCCCTCACCCCTTTTTTTAAAGTATTCCAAACAAAAAGGAAAAAAATGGGCATACTAAAAAAAGATTAAAAAAAAAAACAAAACAGGTAAGTAACTTGTATATAACAAGGGGTTTTGTTTGTTTGTTTTTCCTAATTAAAATAATTTTTACTTTTTTTTTTTTTTTTACATGATCTCGTGCCTGGGTATTGATTTGCGTTAAACAACAACGTTTGCTTCCCTTTCATATTTTGTTAGGTGTTGAAAGTAGAAAGTGCTGAGTTAGAGACTCCAGTATCGTCTCGTTGTATTAATATCTGGACTGCAAACTACCTTTTTTAATACCCAGAAAAATGCTTAAAGTCCTCTTGTCCAGTTCGGTCTAAAACTGAAGAGATACACAAATCCTGACGTCTTAGACTACAATGCTTTTGCCTTCAGGACACTTAATGCCTATTTGTATACGGAGAGACAGTGTTTGAAACCTATAATGCACAGGACACTGAGTTAAGTGGAGCTTTTCTAGTTTATAAACAATCTGCAAAAAGTTTGGAATCGATTTAACCTCTTTTATGTCGGCCCTTTGCATAAGGCACAGCTTTGTGTGAGAGGATAAAAAAGGCTTTTTGGACCCTGCCGAAGTTGCTCTGAAACTGGAAGACGAATATACATCTTTCTGTACGAGAAAGCCTTTGATTATATATATGTGAAAAGTGTCATGCAACCGGACCCGCTAGAAAAGCCTTCAGAAAAGAAGGGGGGGTGGAAGCTTAACGCATCCTGACGGGCTTTTTAAATGCTATTGATTGGGACAAGCTGTTCAAAACCCCAGTAACAGTTAATCTGCCTGTTAATCAAGCCACTAAGGAGCTCAATGCGAGTTTTATTAGCAACTGGAGAACACAGGCAGCAGAAAGGATCAAAAGCCTACACCCTTGATATTTGTAAAACCAGCCTTTCCCAAAAATATATTTTCAGTTACAGAGTAATTCGGATTTTATCAGGACTCGCTCGTAGCCCCACGTAAACGGTCCCGCAGGCGCTGCCAACGCCACGAAACCAGCTGAGCCAGCGCCGAGGTGCGGGGTTTAAAAATAACGCGGTTGGGGGGGGGGGTCCCGCTCTGACCTCTCTCCCACCGCGGGCTCTCCTGGCCTCCCGAATTAGCAGCAAAACCTAAATTTGGCAAACCACGAAGAACCGATCGGGAAACTCGTCGGATTCACGTCAACTGTGTTATTAGACTGAGGGGTCGAGGGCTCTTTTTCTTTTAGCTGGCATATTTGATTTACCGCGGCAAGTTTGCAGGGTACGTTTCCCTCTGCCCATCCATTTGGTGGAGCCGCTCATTTAATTCCTAAAAAAAAAAAAGCTTAAATCGCAAAAATCGTAATTTGGTGAGCCTGAAAGTTGAATTTCAATTAATTTCATGACCAGAAATATTATTATATCGGCTAAAATCAACATTTGATCTTGTCATTTTTAATGCAAGCCGATTGCTTTATATGTCAGCGAGATATGCATATAAAAGACTATCTGGTCAGAGGTAATTATGTCACAGCTTTTTCTCGGCATGACAGCTGGATAAACACCATCTCCAATAAACATCTCTAATTAGGGAGGAGGATCTGAGATAGATGGTGTTTGATTTATTACTGAAGGAGAATGTCCATTTACCGGTATATTATAGCGAAGCATCACAGGGAGCGTTCCTGCTAACACACTGTAAGGGATATTTGGAAATGCTCGAGGACAGGTAAGCGGTGTTTTAGGTTTTATGCTGTTTTTTTTGTTTCGTCTTATTTCGGAGGAAGAACGAACTTTCTAGGGTACCTCTCTCTCCCACTAACGCCCTGCTATAGCAGAGGCACCCCGGGCTCGGAAGGCAAGCTCCAGTTTGGGGGCCGAGAGGTGGCCGCCTCTCAGCTACCGGACCTCCCCCAGCCCGAACAGGGCGATCGGGCCTCCGCGGCGACCGGCGAGTCCCCGGCGCTACCCGGGGAGGGGCAGCTGGGACGCGGCCCCCGACGACAGCCTTCCTCGCCTCTCCTCCCCGCAGCCCCACCGCCAGCCCGCCTTTGCGCACCCCTCCGCCCGGACCCTCAGTGACCCGCTCCCGCCCCGTCCAGCCGGCCCGGGGGGGCTCGGGCCCGAGGCGGCAGCCGGCTGCTGCAGGGCGCGGGGGTCGCGGAGCGGGGCCCTCCCCGATGGGCGCGGTAACCTGCAGCTGCCCCCGCCACCTGAGACGGGTAACGGCGAGTGCGCGGGGCCCGGGTCACGGGGCGGGGGGAAGGGGGCTGCACCACCCGCGCGGGTGGAGGGGAAGTTTGGAAGCGGCTCGCACCGTCGGCCGCCCCCTCCGCCCCGGGGCGCCCCCTCCGACGGGTGGGCAGCGGCCGGAGCCGCTCCCTCCTTCCCTCTCTCCCACCCCCACCTGTTGTGCGGGGCTCCAGCCCGCTCCCCTCGCCTTACCCCCGCGAGGTGGGGGTGCCCGACTGGCGGGGGTCGGGGTGCTCGGCCCCTCCCGTTGGGCCGCCGGCCGGGAGTGGCCCCGCGTCGGGGCCGGGGGGGGTGGGGGGCGACGTGCGGATATGTTACCTGTCAGCGGGCGCGGAGGGCCCGGGCGCGGCGGTCCCGCGGCCGGGAGGAGGTACCTGGAGGCTCCGGTCGCCAATTTCCACGCAACAATCTGACACACAGTTTAAATGTCAATGACAGCAAAAGAGGGGTGCTGCCTTTGCACTAACTTTCCCTTAATATCCACGCCAGCGCCTCCCCCATTGGCTGGGCCGCCCCGGTGACGTCACGGCGGACAGTAGTTAGCTAATGAGACATTTTAGGCGACACGAGAGCGGACGACGCGAGCCCGGACACCGCCCGCCCCGACGGCGGGCAAGGTCCGGCCCGGCCCGGCCCTGCCCGGGGTCCCGCTCCGGGGCTGGGCCGCGGGTCTGGGCTCCCCCGGGAAGCGGCGGGGGTGCTGCCTCCTCCCGCTGCCTGACGGCAAACGGGGGCTGCGGCCCGACGGCTCGCCCCAGCTGCAGCGCTGCCCGCAGCCGGGCCCGTCCCCGGCTTCCTAGGCCAAGGTTTAGGTTGCGGTTTGTCTTCTTCCCCTGTGAAACACCCTCCAAAGGCGGGGGACACACGCGCGTGGGTAAAAAGAAACCCCCCCTCAAGCTCGGCCTGGCCCTGTGGCTCGTCGGAAACGCCGTGGCCGCCCCAGTCCGCCCGCAGCTGTCCTGAGGGAGCGGGATGATGGCCCCTGCGAGACGGAGAGGGCAGACCGCGGCGCGCCCGGAACACGCGTGGGCCGCCCCGGCAGCCTGCCTCCGCCGTGACAGTCCCTGCGGGTGACCCTGGCCCGGCGGGTCCTGCCCGGGCTCCCCGCTCTGCCCATCCGCATCCTCTCCCATTAGAGAGGGAGGGAGAGAGGCTGTTATTTGCACACACTTGTCAGGGTAAATAATTTATCAGCAAAGAGCCACCCCCCCACCCCCACCCAGCAGATAGTTTTATGGAACTGCACTTAAATGTTTCATGAAGCTGCCGCCTGCCTGGGATGAGGCGGGGGCTGCCCGATAGTTGAGAACCAGGCTTTGATGGGGGGTGGGAGGGGAGGGCTTTGAGGGGTACAGAGGTGACGCGGGGCTGCTCCCCGGCCCCCGCTCCAGCTCTGCGAACCGGGGTCCGGCGGCCGCCACCGGGTCCCAGGTGACCCTTTCTCCTTAGGCGGCCGGGCCGCGTAAATCCCGCGCGTTGGCAGGTAGCGACGGCCCCGGGGGGGCGGCCCCGGAGGCGCTGCCAGGAAGGGGTTTCGCGGCGCGTTTGGAGCCGCTGCCATTAAGGGGCTTGCGGCTCCCTGCAACCCGGCAGGGTCCTCCAGGGAAGCGTTGGAAACACCACGGCTCCCGCCTGCTTATCTGGCTGTCAATAAAAGGAGATGGCTCCTAAAGCAGGGCCAGGTGCTGCCTCCCCTGCTCTCCAGTGCGCCGCTCTCCAGAAACTGCTCAGGCGTGAAGCCAAGTCTGCTTGGCCAGGCCTCGGCGGAGGCAGGCAAACAGCCCCTCGCCAGCGCCAGAGCGCTCTCTGTTTGCCTTTTTATCTCCTAAAAAAAAAAAAAAAAAAAAAAAAAAAAGGAGAGGGAAGCGAGGCAGGAAGGTGGGGGAGCGCCGGGAGCAGAGTCCGTGTTTGGCTGGGAAATAGCCGGAGAGGCTAAAAAAAATATTATCTAAATTAAAATAATATTAATAAAAAAGAATAGAGGGGAAAATTGCTGCAAAAGGCTGCGCTCAGAGGCAGGCGGGACCCCGGGGCCGGCGGGGCCGGGATGGATTTGGGACGCTCCGCGGCGGGCCCACCGCGGGACAGGTCCCGGCACACTCCGCGGACAGCGGAGTCAGGGGTGTCCGGGCGCGCAGTGGGCCGCCCACCTCCGCGGAGCCGGGGGGGCTCAGGCGGGGAACGGTGCCGGGGAAACAGGGCGAAAAAGCACCCTCACGTCTGTGTGTGTCCCCATTGTTTCTGTTTTCTGTCACCGTCCGGTCCGCAACCTTCACCTGGGTCACGGAGGAGGGAGGTGGCTCCGCGGCGTAGCGCGGAGAGCAGCCCCGCGGGCGCGGAGGGGAGCCGGGCTCGGGGCGGGCGCCGCCGCGCCGGGCAGGAGATAAGAGCAGGGGCACGGCAACGTGTTACAAATTTATAAGCATTATACATATTTGATTTACACCACGATACGAAGTTGTGTTTTGTTCTGTTTTTTTTTTTTTTTTTTTTTTTTTTTTTCCCGAGGATGCCCCAAACCCCCGTGTTCACATAGATTGAGCAATTCTCAACACACACTGTAATAATGAGCTTTAATTCTCTATCCAAGCAGAACTTGAGCAATAATAATAAGCACATCAGAACAATTTGTTTACTGTGGCATTGCACAGGCTGCAGGGTCCAAGACTAGCTGCAATAAACGGTAAAAACCAAAGGAAACTCTCTAGACCAGGAAAAATTTTGCGATAGAAACGTGGTTTTGGCTTTCAAGGAAAGAGGCACTTGACTAGCATTTTAGCTGGGATATTTTGCCCTTGTCCAAGGTATGTGTTTTTAAATACTTTATTTTTATTTCCCACACACGTTTCTTTGCTTGTCTAACATTTGTCTTTTGCCCCCAGGATCGCGTTTAAACCTTGGTGCAGAAATGTAATTTTGCTCATGTCTTGGTTTTGGTTGTTGGATTTTTTTTTTTTTTTTACCCCCAATCCTCTCGTCCTGTCGGTTCAGCCCTCTCGCAGTTTGATAGAAACTGAATAGCTCCATCTCTTCGAATAAAAAATACCTGAGTTATTCTTTAAATGGCTTTTAGTGTGTTGCCATGCAGAGGTCTGAGAGCTTTCCGCCCGTTGTGGGGGTGGCAGCCTGCGAGGTTCTCCTGCAACCTGGTGAACGGTTGCACCTCGCCTTCTCCGGAGCACCCGCCAAGAGCGGGCTGAGCCGGCTGCCCGGGGCACCCCGGTTTGTGAGCCCTGGCGAGCTGGGAACTTGTTGTAACAAGCGGGATTAGTGTGCGGGAGTGTGTGTTTGGGGGAGGGGGGTTAATTTAAGATGCTGCAAGAAACTTCTGTGAACTGAAGCGTCCTAAAGACAGAAATTTAGCAGAATGATAACATTTTCCCTCGTGAAGAAACCCACTGTAGCCGACTGTATAATAAGACCATTATTTTCAATGCCGTAATCTTGTTTTCTCATAAAAAGAAAAAAAAAGATTTAAAAAAATACTTCTTGCGTAAAAAAGAAATGTATAGCTATAAATAATTTATTTATACCTTAACTTTATAGCTTGGCTTTCTCTATTTTTTTTTTTCCCGAGGACTCCTAATGCTATTAATTTGTCTAAAACTTTATTCTGGGCTGTCTTGAATTATTTCCCTTCTCTCTCCTTTAAAACATTTTCATAATAAGCGTGACTCCGGACAATGTTTGATTTGTTTTTCTCCCCTCATCCCGGTTTAGACTGAGACATTAGCTGAATTCCCTGGGGGTGATTGGATGCAATTCGTTGAAAGTCGACAGGCACGTCCTGGATGTTAGAAATTCACTTTTCCTCAACGTGACAAGGCTGAGTTCGATCTACAATTGTATTTGAAAGGGCAATGAGCGGAAAGATCTCCCATCATTAAAGCCTCCCTCTTCTTTAGCAAAATAACAGGATACTTCATTTGCACACAAACACTCAGGGGGGGAAAAAAAAAAAAAAAAACAACCCAAACCCCAACCGACCCTCGATAACTGTTTAATAAAACACTATCTCTGCATAATTTGGGAGAGGGGGACGACATATCAAAAGGTATCGGAGGTCCCCCAAAGCGCCCATGTGATCAAGTTGACTTTTTACTTTAAATCTTGAATAAGATGTGAGTTGTAACAAGGGGATTTGCACTTACTCCATGACCCTTGTAATTGGATTAAATATAGACTGAGACGTACAAAAACATACCAAGATTGACACCTGCCAACTGGACTTCTTTATGATTGATTGTGATGCTTCGTGCTGGCAACAATAATGAAATAAATTGTATGGATAAAACAGCACATTTGTCATTTCCGTGCCATAAGAGAGGAAGGCAGCGTGTTCGGCAAGCTGTTATCTGACAGGCAAGAACAGCAGACACAACTAAAGAGCTAAACAAGGATTCCAGACATTGACAAGACAAATTATAACTTGTCACAACCTTTTTAAATTCAGAAGTTTTCAATTAACATATATATTGCTGTTACATATAAGATCGGGTGGACTTAAAACATAAACAAGCAGGGACGGAGGGCGTCGGGGGGCCGCGGGAGGCTGCAGCGCTGGCGCTGCCCGGGCTGCCGGCGCCCACCGGAGCTGCCCCGGGAGCCGCCCCCCCCCCGCCGCCCGGGCCCCCGGGCCGGCTCCCCCGGGGCAGCGGGGCCGGGCGCTGGGACGGGCCGGCGGGGCCGCTCCCGCCCGCCTTTGTCCGCGCCTGCCGCCCGGCCGCAGCGCGGAGGGGCGCGGAGGTGAGGAGGGGGGACACCGGCGCAAGGTAGCGCAACAGCTCGCGGCGTGCCGGGCTCCCCGGGGATAGACCACCGGCCGCTCAGTCCGGGCTGCGAAGCGCGGTCGGCGGCGGTGTGTGCCGTAGGTAATTGGTTTGGATTTATGGCTCCCGGTGGCAATTCGCGGCGGGGGGGGCGGTGGATGCGGCGCAGGCGGGTTGCCGCGCTCCTCCGCGCCCGGCCGCACCCGCGCAGCGCGGCCAGTACCGGGCTCTCGGCAGCGGGACGGGCTCTCCGCCTCCGCTGCCCGCCGGGTCTGCAGGGGAGAGGGGCAGCCCCCGCGGGACCCCCCTGGAGGGACCAGGGTCGGGGCTGGGACCCACACCCGGCACCAGCTCCGTTCCCCCGTCCCTCGGCTCCCCACGGCCACTCGTGAGCGGGCTCTCCTCAGCCCGGCCTGGATGTCCCAGCGGGGAAAAGCCGCGGTCCTGCTAAAGCGGGGGACGTGTCCCGCGGGACACACACACACACACACACACACGCATGGTGGCACAAGGACCCGGCTTTGGGCAGGGGTTTCCGGGGTGCCCAAATTGGCCACGTGCCCTGCCGGGGGCTGAGGCCGGCGAGCTGGGGCCGTGTCCGGATTTGGGCCATTTGGCCCCCCCCGGTCATCTCTGGGGAAGCGCTGCCCTTCCCGGGGTGCTGGGAGGCGGGACCGGGCTCACCGGGGCACGGAGCCGAGCCCCCAGCCGCAGCCCGCTCCTGTCGCGACCCCCCGACATGCCAACGAAACAGACGAGCGTTTTCACCCGGGACGTGGTGCGCTTTGCCCGAGGAGATGCTGACCCGGGCCGGGCCGGCGAGCATCCCCCGGGGGCAGAAAGAAATCCCGACTCTCCCTCAAAGCTGTCGGGTCTCTCGAGGGGCAACTCCAGCGCTTATACAAATGTTTTTCATCCCCGTTTCTTTTGTCTGAGAGGGTTTCTGCTGGGTCCGAGATGACGAGTGGCAAAAGTGCAGGGCTGCGGCAACGCAGCTCTGCCGGCCGTCGCCGGGGACAGAGAAAAGGGACCCTGCCCCCAAAATCCCGAGTCCCAACTTGGGAAAAAATAACTAATATTCCAAGGCGACCTTTCCATTTGCTGTAATTACTGCCAAACTCATTCCTCTAAATTAAATGCTGCAAGTGATTTGAATCCTTGTAAAGCAAAAACCAAGTTCCATCGAATTAGTTGTAGCCTGCCTGCTTTCCCCAGTGACTGCATCTATTAACATTATAATCTCAAACACCATTTTTTATGTAACACTATTGTTAGTAAATCAACTCCTCAGGTCCACAGAGACGCTGACCCCTGGCAATTCAGTGAAAGTGTAATTATCTCCCCGAATCTTGGACAGATTTAAGAGATTACATTTCAACTAAATCTATATCAATGCTAATTTTTTCCAGACTCCAGGTGCTAGGCACTCCGAAATGGTGTTTCTGCCCAGCAGAATGGGTTACAAAGAGGAGAGGGCTTGCTGTGTAGAGGGCCAAAAGAAATGAAGCCCCACATAAAATTACACCTATTTTTTGCTACAAAACCTGGTTCTTGTATGGCAAAGTTAAACAAAGCAGCTATGCTAAATTAGCGTTAAATAAAGGCTAGTTTAATGCTCGGTTACAGTCAACTGGTGTATATTTGATGGCTAATTGTCTATCAAAATTAAAAAGAAAAGAACAAATGATTCGTTATAAGAAGGTGTTAAAAGCTTCGACAAAAGGACATTTCACAAATATAATATCTGTGGATAGCGACTTGTCCTTTTGAAGCTTTTTTAATGTACTAAAGGCCTGGGACTCCCTAGATATGAATAATGGGGAGAAACGCGCTCTTTTATTCGGAAAGAGCCTCTTTTAAACCAGTCACTCTAATAAAACGGCAAGAACAATATTCCGGGAGGAACGGGGACCCGCGTTGCTGTGATTTCCGACGGCCACTTAAATAAATAATGCCTCGGCAGTAAAAAGGCATTTAAATGTTATTTGGTTTGCGCTTAAAGAGACCTAAGCGGCTTCCCAGTGGAGAGCAGTTCTCCCTTGCAAATCAACCGATATCAGCGGGGAGAAACAGCATTTGCAGGGCTGCGGGGACGGATCCTGCCCCGGGTGCCCCGCGGCCAGGCGAGGTGCGGAGCCGCCCGCCCCGCGTTTATTTCTTTCTTTATCAGAGTAATGGGCCAGGAAATATTCCGGGCAAGCGGGGGAGAGGGGGATTGCCGCAAAAATAAGAGGCAAAAATGGTAAACCCATCCCACCAACCCAAAACCTCTGTGCAAAGTTAATTAAAGAGGCTGGCGGCGAAGCGGGCGCTGGGGCAGGGTCAACCCCGTCGGCTCCGCGGGCGCGCAGCCCTACACGGCCGGTCCGCGTGGGGAGGGAGCGGGTCCGCGCCCCGCGGAGGGCGTGTGGGAGAGCCGGAGTATGCAAAAAAGCCCCGACTAAATCATGCAGCAAGAACGACAAACCGTCTGGAAAATGGACCCATGGAGCAGCAAGAATGTACTTTTTTATCTTTGACAACTTGTGTCCTAAAGAAACTATCTTGAAGATAATTGAAATGATTACAATTCATTGCTGCCTTACTTCGAGTAGGAGCAGTCAAATAATGAAATCTTAGTAATACAGCAAAAATTTAATTTACATTACACCACTGCTCGAGGTTTCTTTTCTTTTTTTTCTTTTTTTTTTTTTTTTTTTTATGCCCAGCTTCCCCTAGAAATTTTGCCCTCACACATAATTCTGCACTTCGTTGCATTATTTATTTTTTAGGGGTTATTTCCCATACCCTGCCGCCCTTTCTTTTTTAGTAATGGTCTTCTGTGAAACCTCCATGTGCGGGGGAGAGAAGCTTTTCTGGAAGGAGAATACCCCAAGAGGCAAGGAGGGACTCTAAAACAAACTCCAGTGAGGCCGGGCTGGCTGCTGCAGCCGGGGAGTGGAGGAGACACCCCTGCCCCGCAGCCTGAGCCGAGGTTCCGTCTATCCAGGGGTTAGCAGAAACCTCCGCTCAGGCTGCAATGAGCAGGGATTGGG